AGCCTGGCTAATTTTTGTATTTTTAGTAGAGACAGGGTTTCACCTTGTTAGCCAGGATGGTCTCGATATCCTGACCTCATGATCCGCCCGCCTCGGTCTCCCAAAGTGCTGGAATTACAGGTGTGAACCACTGCGCCCAGCCAGAATTTTTACTGTAGAAATCAACAGACTGATGCTAAAATTCATATGGAAATGCAAAGGACCTAAACTTGCCGAAACAGCTTTAAGAAAGCACAAAAGTTGGAAGATGTAGACTACCTGATTTCCAGACTTACTGTAAACCCATTTGCAGTAAGACGGTGTGGTATTGGTTTCAAGATAAACAAATACATAAAAGGAACAAAATAGCTCAAAAGCAGAGCCAGACATATATGAACAACTGATTTTCTTCAGAGGTACAAAGGCATTTCAGTGGAGAAAGGAGAATCTTTGAACATATAGTGCTGGAGCCACTGGACATCATATACCAAAGAATTTTCAGCCGGCGTAGTGGCTCATGCCTGTAATCTCCAGCACTCTGGGAGGCTGAGATAGGCAGATTACCTGAGGTCAGGATTTCAAGACCAGCCTAGCCAACATGGTGAAACCCTATCTCTACTAAAAATACAAAAACAAAAAAATATATAGCCAGGCGTGGTGGTGCATGCCTGTAATCACAGCTACTTGGGAGGTTGAGGCGGAGGTTGCAGTAAACCGAGATTGTGCCACTGCACTCCAGCCTGGGCAACAAGAGTGAAGCTCTGTCTCAGGAAAAAAAAAAAAAATTTCAATCCACGTTCATACCAAATACAAAAATTAACTCAAAATGGATCATAAACCTAAGTGAAAAACCTAAAATTCTAACATTTCTAGAATAAAACATAAAATAACATTTCTGTGACGTCAGGTTAAGCAAAAATCTCTTAGATCATACACCAAAAGCATGATCCATGATTTCAAGATACATGATAATCACACAAAAATCAATTGTTTTTCTGTATACTAGCAATCAACAATTGAGTATCAGAATATGAAATACTTATAAATAATTCTGACAAAATATGTGAAAAACTTGCACACTCAAAACTATAAAACATTGCTGAGAGAATTGAAGAAGTCCTAAATAAATGAATAGATATACCGAATAACATACAATAGATATAAACAATAAATTGATTAGTTGTACTCCCTTAAAGTTTAAAACTGCTGTGCTCCAAAAGACACTGTTTAGAGAATTAAAAAGCAAGCTTTTGACTTGGAGAAGATATTTACAATGCATACAACTGACAAAGAACTTACATTCAGCATATAAAAAGAACTTTCAAAACTCTATAAAAAGATGACAACCGAAGTTTTTAAATAGGCAAAAGATTTGAACAGACACTTCCCCAAAGAAGATGGATGGATGACAACGAGCACATGAAATAATATGCTTGACATCACCAGCCATTAAGCAAATGCGAATTAAAACCACGATGAAATATTGTCACACACCTACCAGAATGACTAAAATTAAAAAGACTGACCATACCAAGTGTTGTCAAGTCTGTGGAAGAGTCAGAACTCTCATATACTGCAGGTGGGACTGCGAAATGTTGCAATCACTTTGAAAACACACTCTGGAAATTTTTTAAAAAGTGCTTTTTAACATATACCTACCAAATGGCCCAGCCATTCCTCACATACGTGCTTAGCCAAGAGATATGAGCGTGTATGCCCACACAAGTGCTGGTATTTGAGTGCACAGAGCTGCTTCATTTGGAATAACCCAGACTGCAAACAACCCAATGTCCGTCAGTGGGTAGACGGGAAAACAAACTGTGGTATAGCCGTGTGATGAAATCCTCAGCAACGGAAAGAATAAATCACTGATACACAAAGTGAACCTCAAAATGATTATGCTGAGCGAAAGAAGACAGATTTTTAAAAGGGCTTGCTATTGGGTTTCATTTATATAAAATTATGAGAAAAGCAAATTGATAGTGAGACAAAGCAGATCAGACATTGCCTGGGGCAGGAGAGGGGACAAGCTGGAAGGATTGTAAAGTACCGCAAGGAAACTTGAGGGGGTGATGGACGTGTTCACTCTCTGGGTTGTGGTGATTGCTTCGGGGATGCATTCGTATGTCAAAACTTACACCTATCAAATGATCCAGCCATTCCACCCCTAGGTATTTACCCGAGAGACACGAAAGCACATGTCCATGCAAAAACCCATGTAGAGTGTTCAGAACTAGATCACTGATGATTCTTTACCAAGAAAGGAGTTTCTGGAGTGAACTCCATTAAGTTAACTTCTGTTTCTTGGTCAGTTTTCTACGTATTAAAGATGAACCATTTTCATTTTTTCACATTTCCATTGTAAATTTTCTAAGATTGGATTCACCAGGACGTTTTCCCTTGCAAATATTGTAAGATTTCATATATTGATGAGATACACAACGAGGACCTCTGCCTCTGTAAGTGTCAGTATTGTGCATGATCCCTGCCATGCCCACTGTTCTGGTATCAGAGTCTTGCCCTGTACAGTTTAGCCACTGTCAAACCATTTTCTTTTATTGTTGCTTTTCTTTTATTGTTGCTATCAATAAGCTTCATTAGGAATTTGGTTTTTATAAATACTTTTCATTGGCTTAGGCGTCCCATGAGAAAACAGTGAGCACACCTCTCGGATGTCCAGCTGGGCACACCCCTCAGATGTCTAGTTTTAGTTTGTCACACAGCTGGTAATTCTTCCCTGTTTCTCCTGTCACTATGCGCAGGAGACACCTGCTTCAGGATCTGAAAGTTTAAGGGTAAAACTACCCATAGGAACATGAAGGCAGATCAAAGAGTGTCAATTTTAAAAATGAAAATTGGGGCCAGGCACGGTGGCTCAAGCCTGTAATCTCAGCACTTTGGGAGGCCGAGACGGGTGGATCACAAGGTCAGGAGATCGAGACCATCCTGGCTAACACAGTGAAACCCCGTCTCTACTAAGAAATACAAAAAACTAGCCGGGCGAGGTGGCGGGCGCCTGTAGTCCCAGCTACTCGGGAGGCTGAGGCAGGAGAATGGCGTGAACCCGGGAGGCGGAGCTTGCAGTGAGCTGAGATCCGGCCACTGCACTGCAGCCTGGGCTACAGAGCCAGACTCCGTCTCAAAAAAAAAAAAGAAACTGGCTTCAGGAGAGAGAGCCTAAAAGTCAACAAAATGAATTACCAACTCCAACTTCAGAAGCACCAGCTCTTAGCCAAGGCAGAGAGAACGTTTTAAGTGTGATCAGCTGTTACTATCCTACGGCGCTATGGGCCATTCGACTCAATATGCAAGCCCTCCTATGTGGCCAAAGCATTTCAGGGGTCATGAGAGGAAAATGGCAGGCACCAAAGTGCCCCTGCAGAAAAGCATAAGGGTATGCACCAGCAGCCACCACCAGCTGGCCCATGAATGACAGCCACGTCCATGCATGTTTCCGGTGTGCCAAGCCCTGCTTTGACGCTCTGCATCTGTCCTCACTTCATGGTCACACAGCCCTCTGGCACATCTTCCCCAGAGCACAGAGCTTATGAGGGGTGGAGCAGGGTATTTGTTTGAACCTAGGTAGACCAATAAATTTTAAAGATGAAGATTCACAGCTGCTCCATCCAGGTGGGCACATCCCTCGGATGTCCAGGTGGGCACACCCTAGGCGTGGTCCTTTGAGCTTTCTCAGTCAGGGTTCCTCCTACCTGCCATGGCACCTTCTCTGCCACCTGTCTTGGTAACCGGGGCATAGGACCACCTTGCACTTGACTGACACAAGCCGCTAGGTGGACACACGTGCGAGTGAAAACTTGTTGCAATGACTGTGCAGCCAAGAGCCAAGGTTTCCTCTTTCTGAGACCTGCCATCTTCAGTCTCACAAGGGGTTAAACCAGCAGTCAAGTGTTGCATTTTTACTCCCTGATCAGAGTAAGCAGTTACCTGCTTCAGGATCTGAAAGTTTAAGGGTAAAACTACCGTGCTTAGCCAAGAGATATGAGCGTGTATGCCCACACAAGTGCTGGTATTTGAGTGCACATAGCTGCTTCATTTGGAATAACCCAGACTGCAAA